ACATGTCAGCTTTGGTTTTTGAAAAATACTGTGCTTGCAAGTATGACCACTGTCACTGGCAAGAGCTTGTACCCTGTCCATGGCAGATTTAAAAGACAGAAATGTGATAGTGATGGTCATTTTCAGTCAGCAGGGAGATCTCTGGCCACTCCCTGAGAGGCTCCTGTGGATAACACACTGCGAAGTATTTGGAATTGAACAATCGGAACACTTTCATCTTCACTTCAACGGAGTAACCCAGTATAAACATATCAATCTGCTCTAGTCCACACGTGTCACCCACAGCATTCAGGTGATTCATCATGAAGCTCAAAGGGTCTGACGACGTCTCTCTAGAAAACAGGAGTCTGGAAAGACTCGGAATGATCGTGTTAGTCTTCATTTGCTCATAAACTTCAGTGACTTGATACAGCATGATGAACTTTAAAGCTTCATAAAGCTTGTACTCCAAGATGGTGTCAGAAAAAAGGATGTTGCACATGCTTCCTCTCCTGTGATAATCCCTAATACCACTAAATTCAATCCACTGCATTTTCAGCAGTTTCAGACATTTAGGTAACGTTCTGAACACGTTTGAACCTGTGTACTTCTCAGGACCAAAACTGTATTGCTGGATCCAATTACAACATTGGTAAAGCCACAGTTTTTCAGGAAGTTTAACAATGTCCTTTTCCTTCATCCAGGATGGAAAAGAAAGGCCTTGGTTGAATATCTGAGACAACACCCACCTCAGAGCATCGTAATTATCTCTCTTTACTTGTCGAACACATTTAGTGTGGTGCCTCCGAGCAGCTCCTCATAAGCCTTCCGCATCAGCTTGGCCCGGGGTGCTTCTCCTTTCCATTCTCTTGCACAATAACTGAGCAAATCAACCTCGGCCTCCACACTGAGGTTCCTTTTGAAATTTCTCTGCAGGTAGCCCATCCACCATTTCAGCCGGTGTCCTAAATACCAACGCAGCCTCCTGAAGTAGTAGACGGTAGCCACCAGCAGCCACACAGCTGTCATCACAGAGCCCCTGGCTATGCGCCAGGCAGTATCTAGGGCGTGTCCAGGAGTGAACTTGGTCACTTCCTGCGGCGGGGTCTCGAGGCCGCTCCCGCCAGGGGCTCCTCGGCGCTGCCAGGTGGGCCTCGCTGTGCGGAGCGCTCAGCCTCTGCCTGTCTGACTTTACACCTTTTGAAAAGGATAAAGATGTCTAAAATTTCAGAGACATAGGCTCAGTAGTAGTATTCATTTAGATGGATAAAAAGGGCACAGCCTAACCATTATGACCATTGGCCCAGTATTTTCTCATGTAGCAGGGTTACTTCTAATTATTTGTTTATTTTTATTTCCTTTATCATTGTATTTGCTAACCTCATTTGTACATCTCAAGAAACCACTTGAATATATCTGTGTATATTTTCACTTAGGTTCTCTAAGCATGTGCATAAGTTTAGTGTGTCTTTGAATTTAGAATAGCGATATTATGTGTCTTAGTATCTTCATGTTCATGTATAATATTGGATCCTCATTGCTACATCCTAGTTGAAAACATAATTCACACATTCCTGTCATCTTTAGCCACCTCACCAGAAATAGAAATTTTTAGCCTTCTGGTTTCAGCACCATAAACAACACTGTGATGAAAGTCTGCGAACCTGTCAAAACAGGACTTTGGAGCACATAGGGCTCAGGGGTCTTCATTATACTAAATAGTGCCACCGCTCTGCAGAATGGGGTGGTGGTAAGGTGCAGACAAATACCTGCAGCACGTGAGAGTTAGCCTCTTCCCACAATTCTCAGTACTGGCAGTGTTTAAGTTTCTAATGATTCCTAATCTAATAGGTATAAAGTGGTTTCTCACTTTTCACTTTGTTCAACTAGTCGATCATTTTCTTTTTTGCCTAGTCCCATTTGTTTCAAACATATGGTACTACTACAAATTTGTTATTTTGATATCAGTTTTAAATATATTTTATTATATCCATAAAGTCCTATGTTTATTATGTGAAAACAATAGAATCCATTGCCTCACTAATGTAATTATTTGGAACTCTTGGTATCCATCATATCAAGCATCGTGTTCAGAGCCTACTAACGGGGGAAAAAAAAAAACAGATGGAAAATAAAAGTTTCAATACTGGAGTAGAAAATGTAAAACCATCATTATTCTTATAGTCAATATACTGTGTATTCTAAAGGACACTGCAAAAATATTTTACTAGAAATAGTAGGGGACTATACAGCAATTTCCAAGGAGGCAAAACCAACATTCAAAGATCAGTTTCACATCTAAGCAGAAACAATGAAAGCCATATTTAAACTA